TGTCTTCATGTTAACAAACCATGAAAAGCACTCGACAGCGATTTTGCTAAAACAACAAAGCCCTCAATTAGAACCAATTCAATTCAATCTGATCCACAAATCCGGCCTAAATATAGGCTCTGTGTAGCCTCTTGTTTAGTAACAGATGGTTGCCTCAAAATATTCTTCCATATAATTTTGCAGTGTAAAGCTCTATTTCATCTCTTACGGCCTCTGGACAAAGATAATTATTTTCCGGTCTCCGTTCTTCTAACAAGTGAAAATAGATTGAACGAAGAGAAACTATCATTTTTCGAAGCATAACAATGTGAGCTTCTTGATTGGTTGTTGCCTATCTGGACTTTGCCCTGTGCGTGCGAAACACGTGATAAAATGTAGGTTGTTTACAGGAAATTGACACGCAGTGGGGTAAAGTCCAGGTTAGCTAAAAGCGAATTTTATTGGCAGAAAACGTCTAAGCACGTGAGAGTTGCGTACAAAATTAACAGACCGTACCATTCTGTCCCTTAGGAAATATTTTTCATTGAGGTAGATTTATACCATAAAATGTACATTGTTAACTGGAAAATGGCATTTCATCTAAGAAAGCCTAATCCATACTGGCGAATAAAAAGTAAACATGCAATTGTAACGGGAAAGTATCGTTTACACAATACATGATAACTTTTAGAAGCAAAGAAACAGCTATGTAATGTGGCAGTCGACACAAAGTAAATGTAACTTGGTGGTCGTTTCAATCAAGTAGCCCTTCCAAAACAACACGCTATAGCACTAAATTCGTGTTAGGTCTTTAGCTGATGATGTGTGCGTCGTAAGTGAAGGAGCGGTACACAAAACATGCACGTTTTAACCCGCTAATCCGTAGAAAAAGTTCCCTGACAACCTTTCAAATCCAGACAGATCATAACGATAAAATCCTCACGAAGGACATGAGCCATTACATTGAATAGATGATCTTACAACTCTTGTAGATGTCATCTTACCTCGTTCCTTGAGTGAAATTCAAAATTGGAATCGCTGATTAACTCATATATATAGCGATAAAATATCCTGAAGTTGCTCCTACAAACATCTCAAGTAATATTTGATTCAAAATTTTTCTCATGTTCCACTCAGTCTTTTCCAGAGGGGAGAATAAGCATAGTTGTACAATGATCACAACTCCACCCCTTTCCCAACACGACTGATACATTTCCTTAATTCACGGACCCCTCTCTCCGACTCGCGCGTTGATTCGCTGAAATTCGAAGACCTGTCAAACCATAAATTACCAAGAACCCTCTGATTGGTGTGACATAGGAAAATACTACAATCTGATTGGTTTGTGATACACCAAAAAATTGGGCCAATCAGATTGCGTTGAGATACACCAAAAAAGATATGCCAATCAGATTGCTTAGAGATACACCAAATTGCGCTGATCAGATTACACTACACCACAATACACCAATCTATACGCTAACATATAGTTTTTTTTTTAAAAAAATAACTCAATAAAGGTTATTATTATTATTATTATTATCAAAAGTTTGATCATAGAGATTTCAATAGACTTTGACTATTAAAGATGATGGAATAATTTCAGCAGAGTTGAAAGGTATCACATAGCAAGTCAGAGAGTCAAAATTCCTTTAGAATCAGTGATTTTTTTTAAAATAAATTCTTAAACAGCTCTTTGGGCCTTCTATGTTAAACTTTCAGCTATATAAAGCTTCTTAGAATAAGCCACAAAGAAACAAGAACAGCTATGAAACATACATCACATATTTCAGCTCCTTTTATAGCACCTCACAACCCTGGAGAGGATAGCAAGGATTGGCTGAATTAATACCTTTCAGGCCTTAAAAAGGTAAACAGGAATATATCTCTTCAGCATTTGAACTCCAATTGATTTGTTCTTTCACGAGATTCTCAAAACCCTCAGTAAATGAAAGAGGATCCACAGGCAATGAATTTCTAAAAGCTGCAAATGGCTCTGACACCAAGAGCCTACTTGTCTGCCTGCATGGGCTCAGATTTTTCAGTTACCTCAGATTCCAAATTCCTCTACTTTATAACCTCTTTAAGGAATGTGATAACTATAAATTATCTCATAAACCTCAATACTAAGAACTCCAGTAATTGTGAGGTCTTAAGAGTTTTTCACCTGCCTTTCTTTCAGAAGGAAAAATATTACAAGAGATAGAACTAATTTGCCACTGAATCAAGACAGGAAAAGAGATAGGTTAAAACAAGGTTATAATGCAAGCTGGCCCTGATGAAGAGAAGAAGCCCAGAGTTAGCATAATTTATGTCCTAAATCTTAAAAGACAGGTAAGCTAACCTTTCACACCTTCCTCTTTCTTAGTTAAACAAAGGTATAATCACCATAGTTTCTCGGTTATAAGGCACACTTGGTTATAAGACACACCCCAAACTTAGAAAATTACATGGAAATACTCGGTTATAAGAGCTAACAAAGAGTTTGATGGATCTGAGAAAGTTTCACAGCTTTGCTCTGGTAGTGAAAGCAAATGGCAAAAAACTCCCACCAAAGCAAGTGGCGAAAAACTCGCCCCAAAATTCATATTCAAAGGTGTTCGACAGCTGAATGTCAACATGCCACCGAGGGTGTAAGTTTCAGTGCACAAAAAAAGGCCAGATGGACGAAGGTTAGGTTTTATCTCCACATTGTATATTGAGAGAAGGAACTTTTTGAGACAGCCACACAAACACGATACTAGGAATTTGAAACAAGGTACAAATGATTGTTTTGTTGTCATGGATATCATGTGACCAAGAAGGTGCTGTTAAGAACGTGTATACAAATCTATGTTTGTTTGCTTTTCTATGGAAGTTGATTAGTGTTCTGAAAGTAGTATTTCTTTTTAATTCATAGGAAAAAAGGATTGGATTCTATGCAATCTTTGCTACACCTCTGACCAAAAAGCTCTGCTGAGGTGGGATTCCTTTCGTGGTCATTTGACAGGGGCCATATAAGAAACGGTTCTTTCAGAACCACCACAACAGCTCTTTTCAGAACCACCCTGGTTCTTTTCAGAATCACCAGATCTAAAAATGTCAATGACCAACAATTAGTGTTCTTTTCTAGTCTTTTTAACCATAAGTTCTGCTAAAGTTGTGATCTTAAGATTTAGTTGCACAAAAATACTTGGCTATGAGACGCACCCCAATTTCAGCACTAGGTACTTTCCACCCAAAGGTAGAATTTTCTTGGTAAATGGCTTGAAACCAATAATTGGCTATTCACTATTTGAGTGGATCAAGGTGTCAGACCAGCTATGCAGTAACTCAGAGCAGCATTAAATCAATTTTTCTAATTGTAAACCCAGTTCTTTCTTTGTACTGGCTACATGACTGCTTTGCTTCAAAATGGCAGGGCAAGGCAAAGCAGCATACAAAGCCATACCATAACCTATAGTCACATGCAAGATTAAGGAACCTTCTGTGGCAGCTTTATAAAATCTATCCACTCACCTCATTTTCAGAAAAGAAATAACCTTTGCAAGAGGAAATAAATTTCCTTCAAAGTTTGTTTCACTTGAAAATTTTATTCATCAAAAGTTTTGACTAGTGTTGAAATTTTACACCTGATTGGTGGATTGAGTGAGTATCCAAATCAGTGCAACATTTCATCTCAATGAAGAAAATAACCAACTGATCCACAAAAATGTGTTGAGTTTTGAAAAAAATATTTGTAGGTTTAGCACTTTATCAACATACAGAGGAAAGGTTCATATTCCAAACATATAAATAGTACTCGGCAAAATTTATTTGGACAGCTTTGTCACTAATTATTTTTTGTGCTGTTAGGGTAATGTGTGTCTGGTGTCAGGCTTGTTTTCTCGTTGTGTATGACTTTTTTTTTTTTTTTGTCTTTTGTACGACTTTTTTTTTGTCTTTTCAGGGTGAAAGTCAGGGCCTACAGGCATAGGCTATTTACCATTCTGTCGCATTCAGCACTTACCTAGTTGATGTTACATTTGTGTCAGGTTTAATTGTCTGGCCAGATTCAGGCTCCTGTCCGGCCAGACACTTCTGCACAAGGGCTCTCAAATGAAAATTATCCACAGTAAGGATGCACAGTGCCGTACAGTAGAATTAACTAATGAATGAATTATATCTCTCTTATCCTAACTCAGAGTCCCAAGATGGCTGTGATCATTCACGATCATTCTTGTTAACTTACCGTCACATATCATTTTAGTTTTATTTTCAGTATCGAGAATGCCCTACTAATATGCAAATTGACGTAACTATTTACAGAAGTTTTAGTAAGACTTTGGCCAAAATTATTGAATAATGAACTAGTAACCTTTCAAAGACCTATACACAAATCCAAAGTACTGAAAACAATTAAATCTAAAGAATGTACATGTACCACCTTATTATTAATCTCTTAGTAAGTCGTACGTGCAGCACATTTTGCCATCGACTTTAGTGCGTGATGTTTCGAGGACACCTCACTGACACCACAACCATTCTATACAAAGACGCATCAACCATTAATAAGCATATACATGTCTACTGAAAGTATAAACATTAGTCTTAATTAGATCGACTATTTCTTATATTTTCACTAACCTCCTTTGACTGCATTTTAAAGACCTCTGCGATTTTTTGGTAGAGTTCCTTCACGTTTGTAAATCCTTCAACTTTTCCCGTGGCACTTCCATGGGCTAATTGACAGTAGAATACAAACTTGGGAGGAGGAATCGGCGGCGAAGGTCCTGAGTCAGTTGGTGGAGGATGGGGTGTTCTAGAAGCCATATCATTCGATTTGGAAGAACGTGGAGGTTCCGGGATTTGAACAGACGGATGCGTGCTTGTTCGTGAGGTATTTTCTGTTCCAGCGCCTCCGGAGCGATTACTCGACAGTTTTTTATCTCCATCAGTTTTGCGAGAATCGGAAATATTTGCTCCCCCTTTCTTAAAAAGAGGCATCATTAAAATCGCCAAATTATAGGTCACCAACTACTGTCTGCATCGATTATGATTCAGACGAAACTGTGCTTGACGAGAGCTAGTTCCCAGTCCTTTTGAATCAGCCTGTACGGTGTCATAGTGTTTTAGGTATCCCGGAGTTTTGTTCATGGGCATCCCCTTACCGAATAGTGTTTTGGGTATCCCCTCTGGGAGATACCTTGAACCCTAAAAGTGACTTAACCAACAGACTGGGGCAAGTAAAGCTTGTTGACGTCAGAAAGTTGTTTTGGGTCATCCAAGATGCTTCGCAATAATTGGGTTATTGTGAAGCATCTTGGAATGAGCGATCAGTCAGCAGTTTGAAGTGAATTGCCTTGCATGTAAACAGCCCATCGATTTGAGACACGCACAGGCCAAAATAAATAAATAAATAAATGACGATTATACAGCGCCCTATCCAAAAGCGCTAAGGCGCTTCACAATCAAGGTAAAAAGAAAAAATAATAATCAAACATAATCATTCATTAAAATAACGCTTAAAAAGATAAGTTTTAAGATTATGCTTAAAAGCGTTAAGATCTAAACTTCATTTTATAGTTTCAGGACGGTCATTCCACAGCTTAGGGGCAGAGACAAAAAAGGCGCGATCGCCATAAGATTTCAACTTGGAGCGAGGAATCACTAAGTAGGGTTATAAGTTTCTAACAAGTCATTGATATAACTAGGGCACAAACTATTCAAAGCTTCAAAAGTAAAAAATAAGATTTTAAAAATAATCCTCTACTCCACGGGGAGCTAGTGCAGTTCCCTCAGTAAGGGACTAACGTGATCATGCGTGCGACCACATAAGATCAGCCGTGCCATGACAGGCGCCATGATGGCGGCAACGAATTTCGCACAAGCGACAAATGCAGGAATTGCACCGATCTGTGATTGGGAGATATAAATAGCATTTCAATTCCAGATAATATTTAACAGTTTATACTAGTTAACTATTACATGTAACCATAGTTAATAGAGGGGACTATTAACTATGATGTAACTCACTAGACAGACGACCCATATAGATATTAAGACCGTATATCGAAAGAGTTATCAAGTTCTCTGTCGTGTGAGTTTTACTGTCTAGACTTTGAGGATTGACTTACTTACGTTTCTTCAAATGACTGTAAAAAAAAACTTCTCAGCGAAACTAGCAAAACAGACATTAGGATTGATCCGTCACGAGTGTGTCACTGGTGTGATTCCTGTGGAAAACCGCTGTGTTGACTAAATGAAGGAATCGCACTGACGTTTGGTGGGAAAACTGGTGTATGTTTTGGGTATCTTTTGTTAAAAAAGGAAACGAATAGAAGCTATGATGCAATAAAAGGCGACATTTCTGACATTTCGCCAAAGTTTAGATCAGGAACAATAGAATAAAATAAACCCGGATATTTGACACATGCAAACGGTCTGTAAACGGTGCGATTCCTGTGGTACCGCTGTTTAAACTAAATGCAGGAATGGCACTGAACGACAGCCCAGACAACGATAGGTAAAGAGGCTGGATATTATTTCTCTGGCGCGCGCAGACTGGGTTCTAATTTACCTGGGACTTTTAAAAGTTGCAAAAAAAAAGCTCACACAAACAAACAAACATGGCCGCCGCGCTTAGACCAGAATCATTTTTTCATCTGCCTAGTAGACTATGTTTTACGCCTCTAGGTAGGCTGCCTACACTTTCTTCTAACTTTATTAGTAGTGTGTTTCAAAAACGGAAAGCTACAACACTCTCAAGTGACCAAAATACGGAAAATTCAGAAAGCGGTCTGTGACTTAAAAGATCTTTACAACAACGGTGGGAAGGAAGCACTGGTCTCCATTCTTAGCAAATCGCCAACCACATCGCGTCGATCAGCTCCAAAATAATCCAGCACTTTGAAGGCAAATAGAGCAGCAGCCATTTCCAGGTGCAATCCACCCAGAAGGTGAACCTGTCTTAGCAAAATAAAGCTTTATAGAAGAGCGCGAAGGACGTTCGGCAAGTGTCTTGGCTTGACGCAAATGTTGCGCATGCGCAATTTCCCATCTTGTCAAGTAGAAATTTTTGGAAATTTGAAACTTTAGACTCACGTATTTCCGTTTCCGCTCGGTGAATTTTTTTTTTATTTTTTTGCACGTTAACTTGGAACGGCTCTGTGCGTGTTTTACAAAAATTCGAAAAAAGTCTGTCAGAGGGAAAAAAAGTTAACGATGAATTCTAAAAAAGGCCTCTTTTCGTTAAACTTTCTGACAGAATTTTTTTAAACTTAGCAGTCAAGTAGACCAAGACAGTCAAAGGACGCATGCAAAATCTAAAATAAATTCACCGTCTAATTTTTAAGAAAATTCAAGTCAAGTCTAATTTTGGACCCAGCATTGCAAGCCAGCAACGTTGCCATGGCAACGAATTTTTCAATATATTTACAACAAACTGATTCTTCAATAATATCTTTATTTCAGGGGAAAAGTGATCGCGATTCGTTAAAGCTAAGCTTCATAATTTTAGTTTAAATATCTTGCATCAGAAAAGAGAAATACTATATCCAGCCTCCTTAAACTTGTTTAACTTTTGAAAATTGGGAAAAGAAGCGTTAAGTAGCGCTTCCGAAGTAGATTAAAATCACTTTACATTTTCCTTTATTTTCCTCTGAATGTAAGAGAAGATAAAAGCCATGAGCAACCCTTTTAAAGCTATACTTTATGCATGCTGTTCCCATAGACTTAATGCTATCTTTTCACCCTGTACATCTCCGTTGCTTCTTTCTCTTCAGCGTAACATCGCTCGTTTATCATTTTATCTTGTAAAAAGTTCTTGAAGTAATAATTTACCTTGAGTTCAATAAGTTTCAGGTCATTTGGGATTTGATGGACAAAAAAACGGACTAGAAATTCGATTGATAACGCACTAACAAAATAATTGATTAATTATTTTTTCAGGGGAAAAGATGCCTAACTAAAGTGCATTTCGCAAAAGTTTAGATAAGAAACCTCGGGAAGGGTGACGGGATTCTTAACGATAACAAAAGCCCCACTTCGAGAATTTATGCAGTTAGTTTACCCATGAGAGAAACGCCCCTGGTATCACGACTAAGTAAAGTTACAAAGTAAAGTAATGCAAGTTTTTATTATTTTAAGTTACTGTTTCTAACTGAAGTCAATGGAAGAAGGTTTGGAGTGATATCTGTTAGGAAAAATCCAATCACCAGTTGTATTACCAAATACAACAAAACTATTTAACTACGGGTCACTATTATAAGCCGGCCAGATCTGTTTTTCTTTTTTACAGAGGACATTTCGCCACCAATCAGAACTGTAAACCAGATCGATCATTTCTCAGGCGGTACTGTATGTTCTGGTAAATTTTTGTAATTGTTCAAAATAACCCATCGATTTACAAGCGTATTGAACAAGAAATCGACGGCTTACTAGTACAATATTTTGCGAAACGAAACGAAACGAAACCAGGCAAGACGTAACGAAATTAAAAGAATAATGCAGATACATTTTCTATTAAGTTAAAGGTAACTTTCACGAGGATTTTGGAGTAATCTTCAATCAATGAGAAGGATTTTTATTCATTTTGCAAAGTAGTAAGATAAGAAGAGTTACTATTTTTTTAAATCAACTATTTTCACCCTGCGGAGAAAACGTGACGCCTTTCATGTCATAAAAGTACATTTAACCATTTCAAATCAGTATTTGACCGAGGACTTTTGCCTTGCTTTTATTTCTTAAATCGTATTTAAGTAAATACGAAATGGAACATTTTCAACCTTCAGTAACAATGTCTGTCTATTCAGGTCACAAAAATACGTTCAAAAGTCACTATCCGAGGGCAAATATGCTATTTTAAAGAACATCAAATTTCCAAGCGGCAACTATCAGACCGATAAACACTCTATTGTCTTGATTGTTCACCACTAAATTTTCTTCCTCGCGCCAGTTGAAAACAGCCAAAACCCATTTATTTATTCATGCGTACAGCCTGTCACAAATGTCATTAATTCGCAACTGTACATTGGCTAAATAATACATTTTACCTGTCAAAATTGAAAAGTCATTGTTTTACCAATCTGCCTAACTTCGCGGCCGTCAAACCATTCAAAGTTTTTCATGACTTTCCGCGGACGGGCACTATGGGCCGAGAGTGTCTTTCCACGGATTAACGCTATCGCGTCTCGTGATCAATTTAAACCAGTACGAATCGGATAAAATTTAGTTGTGAACTTTAATTCCCCTCAGCAGGTAGTAACGATGTTGCCATTCTCGTGTCACACGATAGGTTTTAATTTAACGGAATATCGAATAAAGAAAGATCTTGGCCATCTCCGCCTGCATAAACGTTCAGTATCTTCATTCCCTATCAACAACAACAACAACAACAACAACAATCATTATTTCTACTCTTGTATTTGTCAAGTTAAAAAACAATATTGAAAATAAAAACAGTCTTGGCTATCTGGAATAACCATAGGGACTAGCGGAGCCAGGTACTCAGTAGACAACAACATTGAATGAACATAAATTACTGATCAGCAACAAAATTATAACATCAAATACATATTATACAAAATAATTTATATCAAGGCCTACAAAGGTGGACAGAATTTAACAAACAAATAACTAACCAGATAATTTGGGAAAAGACAGAATTGCAATCTAAGATGATAAAAATACATATCTATGATAATAATTCAAAACGAGATCGTATTGTACTGATTCCTCAACGTTGGCGCACATGCAAAAAAAAGAGATGTAGTGTGCGCTCGTCTCAATACAGAGCTACATGATTAGTGCACTATTCGAATTTTTCGTTTTTATTGATTTTGCAAGAGTAACTAGTTCTCGTTAGGAAAATTTAGAGATTAGATTCATTATTGATAACATAAATCGCCTCCGTTCTCCTAAGTGAATAAAGTTTCCTTTATTTTCCTTCTGAAGATGAAAGCAATGAGCAACCCCTATCTACAGTAATGATTTTATTAAAAACGCATTTGAACATGTTTAAACTTTGTTGTGAGCAGTGTTTATAACTAGATACATTAACGTATGGACAAG